TCTCCCAGAATTCCCCAGCCAGCATGGCTGGCTGGGGAATTCTGGGAGATGAAGTCCACACATCTCCAAGTGGTCAAGGTTGAAGAACCCTGTTCTAGAAGATTCAGAACTCTTTATCACCTGTGCCGTAGCCAAATTCTGTGACGCCGCAATGAAAATAAGGCATAACTGGTTACAGAAATAATCCCTTCTGTTTTATCCATCCCTTTAGGCTTAATACATACTAGCTATCTTGTTGATGATATATATATTTTATTTCATAGTCATATTTTAGAGTTACACCTGCGCAGTCAATTAATGCACCATTATAGCCCCGGAGTCACATTTTTATGTGTTATTTTAGCTTTGTTACGCTGGCGTTTGATCTCATCTATTTGATTTTACTTTGGTATTGTTCTTTATCGTTATTTGCTTTGGTATTGTTCTTTATTTCGATTACTTTTTATTTCTTGTTCTTTATTTAAATTTTGGCTGGACATTGACCGAATAAACTATTATTGATATACATCAGGAGGAAAGGTTTAAAATGTCACCGTGCACCCTCTTAAACTTCAGTTCTATCTTAGTCCACTACGGTTTGCTTGAGGCTGACGTACTGAGCAAACTAACATTGCACGGGTGGTGCTCACCACGAAGCCCCACTCAAGGAACTTCACGTGGGTTTAGCGTGACGTGTGAACCCAGCTTCTCATTCTCCCGTGTGCTCACACACGGGGCTGAGTATGGTCCCAATCCTCTTGCCCATCCCAGGGAAAGAAATTTTGGGGCGACCTGCTGACCGACGGGAAGATCGCTTGGCAACAGACCGGGCAGATCTTCAACTCCCCCAGCGCCTGGGCTACGTATTGTAAGAAGCTGGTCAACCCCGCCAAGAAGTCCGGCTGCGGCTGGGCCTCGGTCAAGTACAAGGGGCAGAAGCTGGACCAATATAAGGCGGTCTGGCTGAAGAAGCATCAACCCAACGCTCCCCCTGCGGAGGAGGTAAAACCTCATTCTTTGCTTCGGGCCTCCTTCTAGATTTTTTTAACTTACTAGTCTAAAGGTGGCTAACTTTTTTGGGTCATGGCACCCTTAGCTGTTCCCAAACTCCGCATCACCGTGCTGCAGCGAACTCACTAACACAGTGTTTCTCAACCTTGGCAACTTTAAGCTGTGTGGACTTCAACTCCCAGAATT